GTTTTGGAGCAAATTGTTGTTTGAGTGTGGGAATGAAACTGCTTTGGAAGCCAGTAGGCAGGGATGGTAGGGTAACATTAGCTCATCCGAAGAAGCAGCTGGTTTAGACAGAGATACCAGGCTGTTCCTGAGGGAGAGGAAATTCAGGTGCAAGCAAAGTCATAGGAAGGAGAGGCAGAAGCAGGCCTGTCAAGGTCAAAGGAATTGGGTGATGTTTTGCAGCCCTTAAATGAGAGACAGAGCTGTTAGGATTTCAGATCAAGCAATGTCACTACTGGAGTGGGAAACTCCTGTCTTGTTCCTGGTTCATGCTTTAAGCTCAAGGCCCAATATTCCTAGTCAAGTTTTGCTTCCTGCTTTATGGATTTACCTATGGATTCATGTTCTTGTTTTGTTCCTTGTTTTCTGGATTGATCATAGAATCATAGAATCAAAGAGTTGGAAGAGACCTCATGGGCCATCCAGTCCAACCCCCTGCCAAGAAGCAGGAATATTGCATTCAAATCACACCTGACAAATGGCCATCCAGCCTCTGCTTAAAAGCTTCCAAAGAAGGAGCCTCCACCACACTCCGGGGCAGAGAGTTCCACTGCTGAACGGCTCTCACAGTCAGGAAGTTCTTCCTCATGTTCAGATGGAATCTCCTCTCTTGTAGTTTGAAGCCATTGTTCCGCGTCCTAGTCTCCAGGGAAGCAGAAAACAAGCTTGCTCCCTCCTCCCTGTGGCTTCCTCTCACATATTGATACATGGCTATCATGTCTCCTCTCAGCCTTCTCTTCTTCAGGCTAAACATGCCCAGCTCCTTAAGCCGCTCCTCATAGGGCTTGTTCTCCAGACCCTTGATCATTTTAGTCGCCTTCCTCTGGACACATTCCAGCTTAGAGTCAATATCTCTCTTGAATTGTGGTGCCCAGAATTGGACACAATATTCCAGATGTGGTCTAACCAAAGCAGAATAGAGGGGTAGCATGACTTCCTTAGATCTAGACCAGGGGTAGGGAACCTTTGGCCCTCCAGCTGGCTTTTTTTGCCGCCACATCACATTGTTGCTCATGTTTAACTTGTTGTCCACGAGGACTCCAAGATCTTTTTCACACGTACTGCTCTCGAGCCAGGCGTCACCCATTCTGTATCTTTGCATTTCATTTTTTCTGCCAAAGTGGAGTATCTTGCACTTGTCACTGTTGAACTTCATTTTGTTAGTTTTGGCCCATCTCTCTAATCTGTCAAGATCGTTTTGAATTCTGCTCCTGTCCTCTGGAGTATTGGCTATCCCTCCCAATTTGGTGTCGTCTGCAAACTTGATGATCATGCCTTCTAGCCCTTCGTCTAAGTCATTAATAAAGATGTTGAACAGGACCGGGCCCAGGACGGAACCCTGCGGCACTCCGCTCGTCACTTCTTTCCAAGGATGAAGAGGAAGCATTAGTGAGCACCCTCTGGGTTCGTCCATTTAACCAATTACAGATCCACCTCACCGTAGTTTTGCCTAGCCCACATTGGAATAGTTTCCTTGCCAGAAGGTCATGGGGGACCTTGTCGAAGGCCTTACTGAAATCCAGGTACGCTACATCCACGGCATTCCCCGCATCTACCCAGCTTGTAGCTCTATCGAAGAAAGAGATCAGATTAGTCTGGCATGACTTGTTTTTGATAAATCCATGTCGACTATTAGCGATGACTGCATTTGTTTCTAAGTGTTTGCAGACCGCTTCCTTAACAATCTTTTCCAGAATCTTGCCCGGTATCGACGTGAGGCTGACCGGACGGTAGTTGTTTGGGTCATCCTTTTTTCCCTTCTTGAAGATTGGGACCACATTGGCCCTCCTCCAATCTGCTGGAACTTCTCCCGTTCTCCAAGAACTCTCAAAGATGGTTGCCAATGGTTCCGAAATGACTTCCGCTAGTTCCTTCAATACTCTGGGGTGTAGTTGATCTGGCCCTGGGGACTTGAACTCGTTAAGAGCGGCCAGGTATTCCTGGTCGACTTCTTTCCCAATTTGGGGTTGGATGTCCTCCAATCCCTCATCCACTCCATCTTGCTGAGGTTGAAGACTCTCTTTTTGTGAGAAGACCGAGGCAAAGAAGGCATTAAGTAGTTCTGCCTTTTCCCTATCCCCTGTCAGCATTGCCCCATCTTCTCCTCGAAGAGGTCCTATCGCCTCCTTGTTTTTCCTTTTCCTAGTGACATAAGAAAAGAAGCCCTTTTTATTGTTTTTAACATCCCTGGCAAGCCTGAGCTCGTTTTGTGCTTTAGCCTTGCGGACCTTTTCCCTACAGGTGTTGGCTATTTGTTTGAATTCTTCTTTGGTGATTTCTCCCTTTTTCCACTTCTTGTGCATGTCTCTTTTGTGTCTTAGCACAGTTTGAAGTTCTTTGGACATCCATTCTGGCTTCTTTGCACTTGTCCTATTTTTTCTCTTTGTTGGCACGGTTTGCAATTGCGCCTTGAGTATTTCACTCTTGAGAAATTCCCATCCATCCGTAACTCCCTTGTCTTTTAGTATCTGTGTCCACGGAATGCTGCTCAGCGTTTCCTTCATTTTTTGGAAATCAGCTCTCCTAAAGTCCAAAATGCGGGTTTGACTTGTCTTAGTTTCGGCCTTCATTTGTAGCTCAAATTGCAGGAGCACATGGTCACTTGCCCCTAAGGATCCTACCACTTCGACCGCATCAGGTCCTCCGCATTTGTTAGGATGAGATCAAGAGTAGCCAATCCCCTTGTTGCCTCTTCTACCTTCTGGACCATGAAATTGTCTGCAAGGCAAGCGAGGAATTTGTTGGACCTTGTACTCTTGGCCGAGTTTGTTTTCCAGCAAATATCGGGATAGTTGAAATCGCCCATGACTACTACATCTCTTCTCTGTGCCTGTTTGGTCAACTGTTGGCAGAAGACTTCATCAAATTCTTCCTCCTGGCTTGGGGGTCTGTAGTAGACGCCTACAACGACATCTTTTTGAGTCCCAGTTCCCTTGATTCTTATCCAGATGATTTCAAGCTGGTTTCCCAGATTGCTGTCTTGAATCTCTTCTGCAGCATAAGAGTTTTTGACATATAAGGCTACTCCGCCTCCTCTCCCCTTTGTTCGGTTTCTGTGAAAGAGGTTATATCCCTCGATATCTACATTCCAGCGATAGGAGTCATCCCACAAGGTTTCAGTGATCCCTATGATATCATATTTGTGGTGTTGTGCTAAAAGTTGGAGTTCGTCTTGTTTATTTCCCATGCTCTGTGCATTAGTGTAAAGACATGTGAGCCCCTGAGATCTTCCCTTGAGCTGTTTAATTGGGATTATTGTGCTTTCACTACTTGGTCCTTGTTGTGTTTGTGCAGCCCTCCGTTTAGCCTTCTGGCGATTCCCTGACATTATGGGTAAAGTAGTGTTCGCAAGGCTGTTGTCCCCCTCCCCCGGATTGATGTCACTCTGGATTGATGTCTGCCACTCTGCAAATCTTCTCTAAGTCTATACTGGTTATGAATGCTCAGGAGGTTGCCTTTGATCTAACTAAATGTGCCTAAACCTGCAATGATCTGTGAACTCTCATACAGTCATAGCATAGAAAAATATGTACCTTTATCCATTTTGAAATTACATTTTTGTAGCCCTGTTTTTTACTATGTGGGGATTAAAAGACACAGAGAGAGCTTCAGTATGATTCAAACTTTGAGTCTGTCTTGAATAAATGTCTATTTCTCTTGTACATATCATAAAAGTATACCATTTATTTCCAAGTTGGGAAGATTTTGATGATTTTGGACAAAGAATTAGCAGATAAATAACCCGAATTGTTACGGATGAACTGGAAAGCAAATTAGGCAGAAAAGTTGGATCCAAAGTTAAAGTCAGTTCACTCTTGAATACTGATATAAGTTCTCATTCATGGACAGTGCCACTAATTAGGATACTTGTCAAGCCGAAGTTATTGTCACTCGGAAAATTGCTTTATTGCTTGTGAGCAGCTTTAGGTCCCTCAACAGGAGAAAGACAGCACAAAAATGCAATAAATGAGATTATGTATATCATAATTCATTTTGATGCCTACCCCAAGGGTTCAAATAGATTGGTCACAAGTGAATTTTGATTCTTAATAAATTCAAGTTCTATGTTGGACTGCTAGTAGACACTTCCATGTCATACTCCAAGAACTCTCTTGAAATGGGGATCACTGCTAATACCATACCTTCTAACTTCAATACTGCTGCTAAGGAAGTCATTTCTTTCCTTAATGTGTTCAGCTGAAAGGTTTTTTAAAAATGGTTTGTGGAACATTTAGGAGGTCTCATCCCATGCAACATCATACCATTCATCTGTAACCATATTTTGAATGTCATTCACATGTCATTAATTAAAGAACAACTCTGTACCACTTTGGTGTCTATTACCAGCGACAAATAATCCTCCAGTTATTCAATGCACTCAGTTTCCAAGTGGTCTCAACCAGTAAGGGCCCAAATATAATAGTGGTCCTTAAAGAAGCAAATCCTCCAGTATTGGCACACACACAGGTGGATCTTCTGCTAATTGGATTAGAAGGGGAACCCCTAGCCTCCTTGGATAATAAAGCATATTTATTTATGAAAAAATATTTCTATCCAGTTCTCTCTCTATGCCTGTCTGTTTCAAGACAGCATACAAGTAAAATCAAAACAGTTTCAAATACATTATAACATATTACTTAAAATGAACAAGCATTAGACTATTGGAGTGTTTTTCCGAATTACCTTTTCAGTAATAGTAAATACCTTTGCTGTTGCTGAAATTACTGGAAAGGTAAACTGTCAAAGAAAACAAAGAATAAAAAACTGATCCATCCCAAGGAGGATTTGAATTGGCTGGAACGTTTTACTTTCATTTGAACCTTTTTGGGCTGCATTAGTATTACCAATGTAAATCAGAGTAATAGAATGTTCTTGTAAAAATTAACCAATGATGCAGTATTCTGAGATGTCCACTAGGATATACTTCTGAAGCACAAGAATGCATAAACTTTTTAACTCACCCGTAAAATGTCAGGCGGAGGAATCCAATTCGTTGCCCTAGTTTAAGCAGCTCTCCCTGTCTACTAGCAGCTCCTGTTAGCAGTACGATTCCCATCTTTTTAAGGGTGGTCAACCATTTATATGCACTTGTGTCACTATGCAGGACCTCTTCAAAGGCCATTGTTGGAAGGTGAAGATCAGAACCCCAACACTGACGATCTGTAAAAATCATATTTCAAAAAAAGTACAAATTACATAGATTTACTTAGTTCAGAGTTAAATGGAATGAATTCATACTCATAGTATCCCTATTTTTTCTTGATATGTTGGGTTTATTTCCTCATGCTGATTACTATGAGCCTGATTCTAGCAATGGGCAGTAAGTAGGGTTGTGTGTCGATCCCATTTCCTTTGGTACCTGCGGCACATCAGGCACCTTCAGGAGCATGTAACGAGAAGGGGCCCCCTAACACAAAACCTCGCTTGACATGAAAGCAAGCAGGAGCCATTCATCGGCTTCCCTCTGCTTTCGTGAGCACATGGCACTCCATGCTTCCTTGCCTTGGAAAGAGAGAGTGCATGTTTGGCGTGCAGGCCCAGAAAGTTTGCGCCTGCCTGCAGCTGAGCACCTCTCCTCTAGTGTAAAACAGCATCAAATGATAGGAAGGGGAGCCTGGGAAGCCACCCCCCATAATGGGCTGACAGAAAACTGATCTTTTGGTGCCCTACTGATTTTGGGAGACTCCCAAAAAACAGATCGGGATCCCCACCAAAAACCAGGACATGAAATGGGTCAAGGTTTACCCTGAAAGCACAACCCTAATGGGCAGATTGATGCAGTTATCTCAGACAGCAGATGGTGAAGGCAGGTAGTGGCAGTGGAGCACAGGGAGAAAAGAGCTGCCACGCAACCTGTCCTCTACCCTGCAAGCTCTGTATCTGATGAAGTACAGATCCATGTCTTACAAGATTTTTTTTAATTAGTACAGCTCAAAGGCTCTACATTTCATTCTTCTGTCTGCTTGTTGCAGTCTATTCGTTTTTTATATTTATGCTGTTGATAGCCTGATTATAAGATTCTTGTAGGTTTTTCGGGCTGTATAAAATGTTCTAGAAGCATTCTCTCTGTTCACCTGCATCTGTGGCAAGAATCCCCAGAGGTTGTGGTCATATTTAGGCTTTCCATCTGAACAAAACCAATTTGTGCAATGCAAGTGCAGTGGCAGTCTCTCCTATATGAATTGGTTAATCACTGCTGAGATTTTTCACTTGTCAATCATGCCTTTGCTTAAGACCTTGTGAGATTTGCCCTTTTATTGTTTTTTGTTGAATGCCACACTGCACGATTACTGATGACTAAGACTTAAATGGCCAGTGAAAGGGCTTTGCAGATTTCTTTTTGCTTACAACTGTGCCATTATAAAAAGGAAAAAATTAGGGGCAATAAGGAAGTAAAGTCCTTTCTTTCATTATAGGAAATTATATCAAGGAGCAAATGCAAGACACAAGTCAGGAACATGTGAAAGGCTAGTATACAAAGATGTAGCCATGTTAGTCTTGAATATCAGTATGCAAAGGGATTTTGTAGCACCTTAGAGATTAATTGAGGGAAAGAGGTTGGTAGCATATGCTTTTGTAGACTAAGTCTACTTTCTCAGGTACACAAAGCAAAGTACCTAAGAACAGACCCAGTATACCAACTCTGTTCACCCATCTACTTGGAAATATAATCACGGGGTCTAACAACATTACCAACAATATTAGATGTACTTTTACTTGCTCATGATGTAATGTGATATGCTGTATGCCATCATCTGTCAACAATGCCCTTCAGCATTCTAGACTGTCAACCTTGCCAGTCTCTGTGCCAGAGGATAAATTGACATAAATCAGACATTAAGAATGGGAATTTACAAAGTCATATTTCAGAATGCTTTAATCTTCCTGGGCATCCCATCTGTGAAATTGGAATACACCCACAAACTCCAATACATCGACAATGGGTTGAACAGAGACAATGGCTTTCTGGCACCCTACACCCAAAGGGCACAATTAAAACTGAATTTTTCACCTTATCACCACATCCACCATTTGCATGGCTATTCACACAGTCTGTCTCTAAGGTCCGTTTCCAAGAACTTCACTCCATGCATCTGAGGAAACAGTCTCACTCTACAAAAGCATATGCTACCAACGTCTTTCTCTCAGCTAGCAAAAAAACAAAACAAAAAAAACTAATTGCTCTTGCAGCAGCACTTATAACAGGAAGTAATAAAAGTTAAAAACAATGCAACCAGGAAGCATTTAATGGAAGAAACAGAATGAGTTCCTCAGAGATGACCAACTAAGATCTTGGACATGGGAGCTGCCTCTTCTGGATAAAAAAGCTGCATGATTTCTCAGTGTGGAGACACATGATAGCAAAAAGGCAATGCTACAGAAGTAATAACTGCTTCTAACATGAAACTGATGTACATGCCATGTGATTTAAAATATTCCCTAGAAGAAGGCTAGGCAAAGTATGGCACACAGGATGTTCCTGGACTACAACTCCCAGCATTTCTCACCACTTGATATTCCCGCTACTGATAGTTTCAGCCTAGAAATCAGTTTTTGTCCATTCCTGTCTTCAACTGAATTTCCCCATTATCCCTTGAAGACCTAGAAAGATTGCAGCAGTTCCTGTCAAGACAAACAAGCTGAGCTTCAAAACAGAATTGCTTACACAGTGCCTACAACTTTGTGTCCATCTTCCATTAAACAATACATTAAACAAATGGATTCCTACTAGGTCATAAGCAATCCACATTAAGTATCAAGCGTATAATGTGTGATGGGAGTAAATGAGAAGACAGAGGCAGATAGATCACAAGGGAGGACATCTCATAGTAAAAAAAATATATCTCAAGGCTGCTTTTTCAAAAGCATTTGACTAGCTAGTGTTGCAAACAGGTTGTTGGATTAAATGAATTCCTTCTCTTCCCTGTCAGGCTTTTCTCATGGATATATGAAGCCTTGTTGTCATGTGCTTTCCCAAGAACATGCAACGAAATAACTAGAGATCTATTTATTTAGTTTACTTTTGGTGACATTATAAAGAGCCTAACTGATGCTAGATCATGAACAGTGTGTGCGTGCCTTTAGTCTAAATACATGTCGAATATCCCTTATCCGAAATGCTTAGGATTAGAAGTGTTTTGGATTTCAGATATATTTTTGGATTTTGCAATACCAGTGTTTGCACATACGGTATGTACATAATGACATACCACAGAGGTGGGATCTAGACATGGGTTCATTTAGACATCAGACAGGCGCCCTCCCTTATGACATTCCGCAAGAGCCTAAAGACATGGTTATTTGAGAAGGCGTTTAACTAAGTGCTACAACAATTGGCAATGATGACTGGAACGGAATATGGATAACGAGATTGGTTTATGATTCTACGATGAGACGGCGCGGATGATTTAGTGTAATTGTATTATTGTTAGTTATGTTGATATTTTGTTGTGATATTGCCTTATTGTAAACTGTTTTTTATATGTTGTACACCGCCGTGAGTCGCCCTAGGGCTGAGAACGGCGGTCAACAAATGCAGTAAACAAACAAACAAACAAATAAATAAATAAATAAATAAATTTATGTTCAATATATACCTTATATTGGTCATGAACCGGTGCTTGGCCGCTGTCTTGGACTGGATGAGGGACAACAGATTGAAACTAAATTCAGAAAAGACAGAGGTACTCCTGGTCAGTCGTAAGACCGAACAGGGTACGGGGTTACAGCCTGTGCTGGACGGGGTCACACTCCCCCTGAAAGCTCAGGTACGCAGTCTGGGAGTTCTCCTGGATTCATCGCTGAGCCTGGAACCCCAGGTCTCAGCGGTGGTCAGGGGAGCATTCGCACAATTAAAACTTGTGCACCAGCTGCGTTTGTACCTTGGGAGGGCTGACTTGGCCACGGTAGTACACGCTTTGGTTACATCCCGCTTAGACTACTGCAACGCTCTCTACGTGGGGTTGCCTTTGAAGACTGCCCGGAAGCTGCAGCAAGTCCAACGTGCGGCAGCCAGATTACTAACGGGGGCTGGATACAGGGAGCACACCACTCCGCTGTTACGCCAGCTCCACTGGCTGCCAATTAGCTTCCGAGCACAATTCAAAGTGCTGGTGTTGACCTATAAAGCCCTAAACGACTCCGGCCCTGTTTACCTCTCCGAACGTATTCTCTCCTACGAACCATCAAGATTATTAAGATCATCTGGAGAGGCCCTGCTCTTGGTCCCACCGGCCTCGCAAGCACGCCTGGTGGGGACGAGGGACAGGGCCTTCTCGGTGGTGGCCCCGCGACTCTGGAACTCTCTCCCTCTGGAGGCCAGAACCGCCCCATCCATCCTAACATTTAGGAAACGGGTGAAGACGTGGCTGTGGAGTCAGGCCTTCGATGAATGAGACAACACCATAGGACCCTGGATGGAAGTTGATGTAGACCCATCTTAATAGGACGACTGGCTATTGTAGTTTTATATATAGTGTTTTTAAAGTTGTTTTTGTAATTGTGATATATGATATTTTAATGAGTGTATATGCTTTTATGGCTGGAAACCGGGCTGAGTCCCTCAATGAGGTTGAGAAGCTCGGTATAGAAAACTGTGAAATAAATAAATATAAACGTAGCCTGGATGTAATTTCATAAATATTTTTTTAAAAAAATTCTATGAATTGATTGATTCATATTCACCCAAGCCTGGAAAAAGACAAGTTTATAAAATTCAGTTCTGAAATGCTATCCAAGAGAAAATGGATAATTTGTCTACTGTTCCATGAAAAACTCATAATTTTTCATGGAGAGACCTGTTGAAGAAGTTAAAATTTTCAGGAAAAAATTAAATGATTCTACCATTCATAGATATTTCTTATATGCTCATCTCAGAGTCACAAGGAAAAAACAATGGATAATATGGTTGGGGTGAGTGGGTCAGAGGAAGGGAAAAATTCCAATAAATTCAGAGAGAGAAGGGGGGGGGGGAAGAGAGAGATTTATTTTAAGAGTATAGCCAACTCTCTTCAATTATACAGAAGAAAAGAAGTTACAGTTATCATAGTTATAATTGTAATGTAATTTTTAGAAACAGCAAAATGGAACACCAGAAGAAAGCATTAAGAACCATCTGCTCAAACCTAATAGTTTAATTACTTTAAAAGTTATAAAGCATA